TTGTGACTGATCATATAAATAGCTATGTTCAAGTCAAAGCTTACACATCCACAGAGGCACCTATGACAAATCAAACAGGATAATTTAGCATTGAAATAGCTGAGTGATTAGCTTGTGACTGGTCACAGAAATGGCTATGTTAAAGTCAAAGCCTACACATTCACAGACGCACCTAGTACAAATCAAACAGGAGAATTTAGTATTGAAATAACTGAGGGATTAGCTTGTGGCTGGTCATAGAAATAGCTATGTTAAAGTCAAAGCCTACACATCCACAGAGGCACCTAGTACAAATCAAACAGGAGAATTTAGCATTGAAATAGTTGAGTGATTAGCTTGTGACTGGTCACAGAAATGGCTATGTTAAAGTCAAAGCATACACATCCACAGAGGCACCTAGTATAAATCAAACATAAGAATTTAGCATTGAAATAACTGATGGATTAGCTTGTAACTGGTCATAGAAATAGCTATGTTAAAGTCAAAGCCTACACATCTACAGAGGCACCTAGTACATGGACGCCAAAGGGGCTGCAATAACTTGACTATCATATAGTAAACCGATGTGAAAAAACCTAAGTCTAAATTACATCAATATAATAAATGTACACAATATATTCTTCAATAAGCTGAGCTATTAACAGTAACTGGGTATACACTACACTATATAATGAATACCATATAGTAAACCAATAAAAAACTAAAATATAAACTACCTCAATGTTATCAATAAACTCTATATATTCTCCAATCAGCTAAGCTACCAACAATAAGTCGTTATATATCACAATGCTATATGGCGAAAAAATTGGTGGATTCTTCCCCTCAACTTCAGCACCACGGATAGCTACGAGCCCCATTCAGACGGACGAGTTCATCCATGGTTGGAACGGAGGAGGGGGAGAGAGACAGCTGCTAGGCGCTGTTATACTCCATGTTGTAAACCATACCATTAACCGTGGTGTGAGAGGTATTAAGAGACAAAGCCAGCGAAAGAGCTGCGGTCTGAAGGTCATCGTAAAATACAATTAATTAAGAACTGAAATGGTTTAAAACATCTTTCCAATAGTTACTAAGCCAGAATCCATCTTCTCGGTTGAAATTGTCTCTGTGCTTGTATATGTGAATGGTCTCATGAACAAATCTCTCATGGTAGCCGGTTGGTTTGCAAAGAACCTCCGTCTTGGAGAAGTCAATGTCATGTGAGCCCACTGAATTATAACAGTGATCTGCCATGGCAGAGGAGTTCGTTCTACCGTGTTTCAAGTCTGCTTTATGTTCGAGGATGCGGTCCGAGATATGTCGTTTGTTTTCTCCAATGTAGCTACTACCACAGAGGCACTTTAGTTTGTAAACGCCCGGGTACTGTATGTCTGGAACAGCATCTTTTACAGATAGAACCAGATCACGGATTTTATGTACTGTGTTGAATCGGACCTGGATCTTGTGTTTATTCAGGATTTTGGAGATCTTTTTAGTGACCCCTGCAATGTAGAGTAAGGTGATGGTTTTGAGTGGCTCCACAAGAGGATCCTTCTTCATGACTGGAGTGATGGCTTTGCGGATTGTGTAGTCGGAGTAACCATTAGCCCTGAGAGCCTGGTGTACGTGCTTGAGTTCACTGGTAATGTGTTCCTGGTCGGAAATGCATTGTGCTCTATGGTATAGAGTCTTGATGAAGGAGTTCTTCTGGAATGGATGGTGGTGGGAATCCGGTTTCAAGTAAGCATCTGTATGGGTAGCTTTCCTGTAGACAGAGTGGCTCATTTAACCATCATGTCTCCTTTTAATTAAGACATCCAAAAAGGGTAGTTTGCCATCTTTTTCGACCTCCATGGTAAATCTGATGGCTGGGTGTATGGAATTTTACTTTAACATAGCCATTTCTGTGACCAGTCACAAGCTAATCACTCAGCTATTTCAATGCTAAATTCTCCTGTTTGATTTGTACTAGGTGCCTCTGTGGATGTGTAGGCTTTGACTTTAACATAGCCATTTCTGTGACCAGTCACAAGCTAATCACTCAGCTATTTCAATGCTAAATTCTCCAGTTTGATTTGTACTAGGTGCCTCTGTGGATGTGTAGGCTTTTACTTTAACATAGCTATTTCTATGACCAGTCACAAGCTAATCACTCAGTTATTTCAATGCTAAATTATCCTGTTTGATTTGTACTAGGTGCCTCTGTGGATGTGTAGGCTTTGACTTTAACATAGCCATTTCTGTGACCAGTCACAAGCTAATCACTCAGCTATTTCAATGCTAAATTATCCTGTTTGATATGTAAACCCCTTTGTCAAGGTGCCTCACTTCTCTACACCAGCTTAAAAGATGCTACGAATCTTAACAACGTTCATTGAAGCTCTGTCGTCCCGACAGTTCTGTTCCTTTCACCTGAAAAAGGCCACTTGTGTTGTGGCCGAAACGTCGTGAGAATTTTATTGTTATTTTATTGTATTAATTCATTATTTTATTCTCATTTTCTACGTGACTTTACTGAAAGAACCAAAGAAGACTTGGAGAAGATCTGCAAAGAGGAGTGGGACAAAATCCCTCCTGAGATGTGTGCAAATCTGGTGGCCAACTACAAGAAACGTCTGACCTCTGTGATTGCCAACAAGGGTTTTGCCACCAAGTACTAAGTCATGTTTTGCAGAGGGGTCAAATACTTATTTCCCTCATTAAAATGCGAATCAATTTATAACATTTTTAACATGCGTTTTTCTGGATTTTGTTGTTGTTATTTTCTGTCTCTCACTGTTCAAATAAACCTACCATTAAAATTATAGACTGATCATTTCTTTGTCAGTGGGCAAACGTACAAAATCAGCAGGTGATCAAATACTTTTTTCCCTCACTGTAATTGATATAATTAATAAGAAATACAAAAACAAAAACTAAGGGGGGCAAGGTAGGGACACAGTACAGTACAACCAAACTTCAAAAACATTTTAAACTTGAGGGGCCGTCCATAAATGATGTCACGAGATTTTGGACGATTTGTGACTCCCCCCCCCCCTCTTGTCTCACGGCGTCACAAAAAGTCAGACCCCCCCTCAAATATGACATCAAAAAGCTCTGCCCCCCCCCCCCAAAACATATAAAACATGCTTCAAATCGCTTTAAACTATTTTCATTGTAGTGCGTATTTAATGTGGCGCTGCACTCTGATGTTGTAGGAGAAAACATTTATTAAAAAGCATATTTAATTAAGTCACGTAGAATGAAAATAAAATAATAAAAATAAAACATAATAAAATAAAATTATCATAATGTTTCGGCCACAACACAAGTAGCCTTCTTCAGGTGATCTGCATTCTACGTGACTTTACCGAAAGAACCAAGAAGATGAATCCCTGCAGTCACGAAAGCTTTAAATCGAAATTTAACCGCCTCTACGGGGAGGGATTCCACATAACCTTGAGATCACCTGAAGAAGGCTACTTGTGTTGCGGCCGAAATGTCGTGAGAATTTTATTTTAATGTTTTTTTAATTATTTTTTTCCATTCTACGTGACTTTTCCGAAAGAACCAAGAAGATAGTTGTACTATATTGAGCATTTTGTCCTGTTCCCTTGAACTATTGCATATTTTCACTTGACAATACGAATTTAGAAGGGGGAGGGGGCTTAAGACTTCAGCAGCGTGGGCTTAGGTCCATCCAGCCCCAAAGACAAATATACCCCATATAGCCTTTAAAAGGCTGTTGGGAAAGTGCCGTGAGCGAGCACCTATGAAGACCGGCAAGGCACATGAGGGGGCGGGTGGCCAGGTACTCATTTGAAGCTAAGTCGACCTAGGGGAGGCCCAGGATTGGTTCAGATAATCGTCACTGGTGTTGGCCAAGCGGGAATCAAACTCAGGTCACCAGGTTCGTAGCGTAGCACGCCAACCGCTACACCACCGCTCCCCACACACGTCTAAAACATTAGTCTAACAACACCATTCTCTCAGTCTCCAAAGAATTGAACAAGGCATTGGCCCACCCAACAAACACACTTCAATGATTCTCATCCGATGGTATAAAACAACTGCCAGTGTTTGCACCTATATAAACATTTCCTATCTGCAGCGCTTGTCTGGTGCAGACTCTATGCGCATATCTGAGGTCATCTGGACTCAAGGCCGTCACACCAGATTACCAACAAAGCTGCAGCAAAGCGTATTTGACTGCCCCACAGCACAGAGCCTGTTGCTCAGGGCCTCAATGTGTCAGGGGGGCATTTGTTTTCGAGGTTTGTAGCCTAATTAATCTAGTTATATTAAGATTACTGCTACCCTTGCTTAATAGTTAGCAGAGAGACACATGCTAAACAGTATAAGGTGATGTACATTCCCACAGCTTCCCCCTTTAGATGGAATAAACTATTGGGGCACTCGTGGTTAGTGAGCACCTAGAGCTGGCAAACCCAGGGTAGGATTAACAATAATAATTACAGCTTATATAGCACCTTTCATAAAATCTCAATGAGCTCTACAGCAATGACAATGGGGGGCGAGGGGGAGGGGGTAAGAAGTGGCTCCGATTTAAAGTAGAAAATGCCCTCTGGAAGAGACATTTTTTGAGGTGGGACTTGAAGATCCCAACCGAAGCGGGTTCTCTGACAGCCCTTTGGCAAAAAGTTCCACAGTCCGGGTACCACACAAGCAAAGGTCCAGAGATCGCCCCTGGACTTCAGCTTAATTCTGGGGATGATCTGAGTTCCGCCGACATCGGAGTCCTTTCTGGAACGTAGGGGCGCAGCAACTCCCCAATGCACGTATGTGCAGGAGATCATTCAGGGCCTTGAATGTGGGGAGGACTTTTGAGGCTGCAGCCCGGGCCTTGGATTTCTGAAATCTATATACAGCTTTGCACAGGTTCAAATGCAATACTAGCACTGTTAGCTACGTACGGTGCGAATAGTATTCAATACTATTGATAATTTGATCATTACAGCCACGTAATCACTATGAGCATTTCTCGCATTTAGGTGCCTGTGACGAGAGGGCCTGCTCACTGCTTTTGTAGATCTGGCACGCGTGCATGTCGGGCTCGGGTCCCGGCTCGGGCTTGTGCGACCTTCCCTTGAGGCAGCAGTCCTCGTGTGCGCACACGCAGCACGCAACGACCGCCACGGTGCACAGCAGCAGCAGCTTCATCGCGAACTGCACACCCACACGCACACGCACGGGTTATGTAAGTGTATAGAGTATAGGGTAATAATAGGTAAATGCGCAGCCCTGAAATTTCATATAAGACTGCAGGTTGTGAAACTTCTCTTTCTGCTTCTTCCTTCCCACTTTGAATTCTCACCCATCGTCTCTTCCCCCCCACCCCCAAGGACTTCATAATAACCTTTCTCAATAAAGAAACGTGGTAACGCTTTCTATTACAACTCTGAGAGTGCAGTTTGTTGCTGGCCGCTCAACGTGTTGGGCCTTTGGGCCTGTGCTCAGCAAATTTGTTTAAAAAAAATATGAAAAGCTTGCTAACACCACTGCTGGCAGAAGAGCCTCCACGAAGGTAATTTAGTCTACTCTTCCACGCTGGCCAGACATCTTGTATGAGATGTGTGGCGTACCCACACTTTACCCCACCACAGTCGATCTGCCGATCTGCCGATATGCAGCTGGATCAATAGGGGCAGGGGGATTTTTTTAAACGTCTTCATCATCATGGCAGCTCGAACAAGAAACCTGTGGATTTCAAGTAACCATTCCGTGAAATATTCATCCGGGACAGAGACACACCAACCTGCCCTCAGAAAAATGATCCCAAGCTTTATAAAACGATGTAATAAAAGTGAGTTTTAAACACTGACAAATTTCAACGCTTTTGTAGTGACGCTGAATGAGTCACTGTAGCGCGTGGCGCTGGGAGATTTGTAGACAATAGGAATTGGGGGTAGCAGCCCGTTATACCAGTTGGTCCTGTGGGCGAGGCACGGAGCCTTCTGGGGGATCCAGAGGGGTGCAGGGCCAAGGGTGGAGCCTGGCCACGCTGGGGAGGATAAAAGTCGAACTCCGACTCACACTCGGTCCTGCTGCCATCTGGAGTAGAACTTGTTGTGCTGCCGTCGTTGTGGTTTTCACCTCTTCAAGCTGTGGATCTGGAAGCATGTTGGCTGTTCTGACCCGGTATAGAGTTATCCCCTATGGCTGTGGAGGCCGAAATGAACAAGAAGAGTGCCTCCTACTAGTGTCTCTGAATTAGTACACAACATTTGGTGTCAGGAGTATTAATAACACATTTTTTATATATATTGTAGGGTTGTTAGGAATTTTCTTTTTTCCTTTCGTATCCTTGAGGGGGAAATAGGGTATGTCGGAATGCGCCGGGACCCCGGTGAGGAGTCCCGGAGAGACGGTCCCAGCGGGGCAGTGGGCGAAGGACGACAATCCCGCACCGCTGCCGGCTAAGGAAAGGCTGCGGGCACTCATCGCTCGCATCGTGTAGCTGCTCTCTGCGATGACAGCCCTGGTGGGGCAGCTAGGTAAGGAAGAGCCGGAGGAGGGGGCTGCGACTCGGGGGCAGCGAGCGGGCGACTCTGCCGTCACTGCCGATGAAGGGCGGGAATCGAGTCATCCAGGGGCGCCTTGTCTCACGAAGCGGCTGCTGTTTATCAAGGAGTTTTCGCCTGCGGGGGGTGATTGGGCAGCCTTCCAGCAGGCATTTCGCCGCCACTTGCAAGCTCGCGGGGTGGTCCGACGCGGAGGCCCTACGTGCTCTTCCCACCGCGCTGGACGACGATGCCTTGGTGGCGTTTTTTGCCATTCCCCAGGCGGACAGGGCGACGCTGCAGCAAGCATATGCCCAGTTGGCGGCGATTTTTGACCCGTCGTCCAACACACGGTGGAAATTTGTGATGCGGAGTCGGGGGGGAGACCGAACTGCCCCTCGCCTTCTGCAGCACGATAATGTCGCTTGCCCAGGCTGCGTACCCAAGGATAAAGCAGGCGGGACTGGATTCTCTGGTGCTGGAGAAATTGTTGGTGCCGGCTTAGAAAATTAGCGTTTTTTTGCCAGCCACAGAGGAAGATGACCTGTCCTCGATTCAGGTAGCCTGATGCATCCAGGCCCACAGTAACCTGCGACGGCATAGCGGGGTGGTGGCCTGGGCTGGATTCCCGGGAGAAGAGGGCGACCAGGAGCGTCAAGGATCTTCTCGGGTCTGCACGTCGGAGTTGGAGCCTGCGCGGGAGAGTTGGCGCGGGATGACAACGGGACCAGCAGGGGGGGGGGGGGGAACCTTCCCTCCACCATGGCGGGGCCCCATTACCTGCTGCAGGTGTGGCCTACCGGGCCACATTTCCAGGGGCTGCCGTCCTCCGCCCTACCGGCCTTCGCTCCTCTGTACCCAAAGGCATGTCGTGATACATCACACACCCGGCCGACACAGCCACCTCATGCATCTCCATTGCAGTCGGCGGTGGGTGGACACACCATCGTCCCTCATAGAGATACGGGGTGCGAAGATGGTGCTTCGGTGCATGATAGTTGGCTGCGGGGGTCCGGGCAATGGACCGCATTGGCACACCATGTCATGGAGGTGGGAGCGGGATCATCCACGGTAAGTGTATTTGTGCAGGGTGTTGAGGTCCAGGTGCTCATAAATACGGGAGCATCCGCCACCATTATTTCCTAATTTGTTTTTCGGGCTTTGCCGTCGACGGTGGGTTGCCTCAGTCCTGTGGGAAGTCCATGTGTTGCTGCTAATGGTGGGAGCTTAGGTATTGTGGGCCAAATCGTGGCATCAATACGGGTTGGTGATGTTGAAAGGACAGGCCCGGTGTTGGTTTCGAGTTCATTGGCGGTGCCTTGTTTATTGGAGACTGGTTTTTTTAGGAGGATGCCCCTCCAGATTTTGATTGACCAGAGTTGTGTTGAGTTACCGTCGGAGCATCGGTTGAGATTTTTGGAGTCCCCTACTGGGTTGTGTATGGCTAATACTGTGGTTCTGGCCCTGGTGTGTGACACTGTTAGGGTTCCCCCAGGTGCAGAGATGCTCGTACCCTTGAGGCTGCGGTAGCGGCTCGACCCGAAAATCATGGGGGGTGGGGTTCTTTTAACCCCTTTGAATAGAGTGGTACGTGGTCTCACGTTAATAGGGGCCCAAACGATAGTGAGAGGGAGATCAGGAGCCCTTCCTGCAAGTATTAAATGCGGGGCTAGGTACCAATGTCATACAGGAAGGTACGGTGTTGGCCCACGTGATGGCTGCTTGTTGTGGAGAAAGGGATGATGTAATCACTCGGGTCGTGGCCGCGGTTGAACGAGAAGCGGTGTCGGATGACTCGTGGATGGATCCGTTGTGTGTGGGTCATCCGAATGTCGTGGGAGCAGAGGGGTGAGTTGTGGGCATTGCTTCTGGAATTCTCCGATGTATTTAATAAGGGTAAATTTGATACTGGCCACACGTCCCTGATGCATCATCATATTGATATGGGTGGCGCCGCTCCCATTCGTCAGAACTCATTTCGGTTTAGTCCAAGAAGGACCACGTTCGTCAGGCGGTTGAGGAGATGTTGGCCGCTGATATAATCTCCCTGTCAACCAGTCCATGAGGTGCTCCCATTGTCCTTGTTAAAAAGAAGAATGGGAGTTTGTGTTTTTGTGGATTTTCGGAAATTAAAAAAAGTCTCCGTGGCGGACGCGTATCCGCTCCCATGGATGGACGATTTGTTGGATGCCCTGTCGAGGGCGTGGTTTATCTCCACCCTGGATCTATTGTCGGGATTTTGGCAGGTACGCCTGGTTAAAAGTTCCAAACCTAAAACCGCGTTCCTGACACCGCAATGGCTGTTTCAATTTAACGTGCTTCCGGCCACGTTCCAGCGACTTATGGAGTTGGTACTGTCGAGGCTCCAATGGGAGTCACGTCTGAGCTATTTGGATGACGTGATTGTCTTTGGACGCACGTTCCAGGAACATCTGCGGTGGTTGCATGCAGTATTTGTTAAAATACGGGCAGCTCATTTGAAATCCAAGCTGCAGAAATGTTACCTCGTGCAAAAGTTAGTTTGCTACCTGGGTCATTATTGTTAGTGAGTCCAGGATCGCCACGAACCCGGAAAAGACTGCGTGAGTGGCCGACCCCCACATCGGTGGGTGAGGTCCGCAGTTTTGTTGGGTTCGTGTCGTATTACCGCCGCTTCGTGCCCGGGTTTGCGATGATCGTGAAGCCGCTCCATGCTCTTACGGAAAAAGGACAGAGGTTTCGGTGGGGGAAAGAGGAGGAGGCCGCATTTGGCACGCTGCGCGACGGCCTCATGAACGCACCCCACTCTTCAATATACCGATTTCTCCTTGCCATTTACGTTGGATACGTACGCCAGTGAAACCGGGATCGGCGCCGTGTTGTCGCAGGTGGAAAATGGGGTGAAGAGCGTGGTTGCTTATGGTAGCCGAGTTCTGTCCCCCGCAGAGCAATGCTATTGTGTTATGTGCCATGAGTTGTTGGCTATCGTACACTTTGTGCAGCAGTACCGCCTGTACTTCTACGGTAGGCAGTTCATGGTACCCACAGATCACTTGGCTTTGCAATACGCGCTACGTGTTGACCAGCCGTCCGCGCAACTCTCGCGATGGTTGGAAATTCTGCAAGATTATTCGTTCGTAGTTACCAATAGGAAATGATTGCAGCACTGTAATGCGGATGCTCTGTCATGGTTATCACCGAAGAGCCAGTGCGCATGTTTGATGGGTGCCGGCCGTTGTAAGCAGGTGGATGCGGGGGAGCCGGGCGCCATGGTCACGTCGGTGGATGCTCTGCCACCCGTACCGGGGGTAGCACGCGATAATATTGGGTTTACACATGAGGAATGGGGGCGCCTCCAGGTGGAGGACGCCTCCTTACTGAAAATACAGCGCCGCGTTGGTGCGCCAAGTGACAGGAAAGGTCCAGGGGGTATGTCCCCCGTGGTCCTCCGGAAGGAGCGACTAATGCACTGGGATACGGAGGTACAGCGGTACTGTAGTGTGGCGCAAACTGCTCTATGGGGACGGGTAACGAGAGCTGCCCATGTGCGACTGATGCACCTAGGGGTGCAGGAAACGTTATCTAGATTGAACCGCGACTTGTTTTGGCCCGGGATGTCGGAAAATGTCCACAACATGCTTAAGGGATGTGTGGAATGTGCTCGCCGGAAGCCCCCGCCGAGGCCGAACCGACCACCATTGCAATCTATTGAAGTGTCCCATGTAAATGAGCTCATTGCCCTCGACAACCTCGGGCCATTTCCCACCACTCCGAGGGGTTGGCCGGTGGCATGGCCCCTATCGGATCAGTCGGCGGCATCCATTACGGACGCGTTCCTGCATGGTTATGTATTGGATAAAGGGGTCCCGGGAACGTAGCCTTACAAGAGGTATGTGATTCATTGGGTACAAAGAAAATTCGAACTTCGCCCTACCATCCCCAGACTGACAGAATGGTAGAGTGTTTACATAGAACTCTTACGTCCATGTTGTGCCAACAAGTCAACGAGGCAGTCTGATTGGGACCTACACGTTCCGGGTGTTCTTGCGGCCTATAGGAGGGCACCTCATGCCTCTACCGGATTCTCCCCATTTTTGTTGTACAGGGAGAGAATGTGACCCTCCCCCATGGAAGCCCAGTTAAATTTTGAGCCAAACAAGAAGAAAGTCACTGTGCTGGGACTTATGAGCCTCACCCTTAAGCGGTTGACGGAAGTGCAGGAGGCAATTCGGCCAAGCGGCAGGCTGCGAATTAAAAACTAGCTTGGCTTAAGGAGTCCCGAAATCCAAGGAAACCGGGGGAGAGGGCATAGCTGCATTACCCCCAGGTGCCTCTGGGCACGTCTCCTAAATTACATCGGCCATGGCAGGGCTCGGTGGAGGTAATTGAGGTTAGGAAGCCGCAGTGTGTGCAGATCCAGGTTGGTTGCAGGCATTGGTATGTGCACCCGTCACGGCTGAAACCCTGTTTTCCACCTCATGAGGTCGTTTCTTCTCCACATTCTGATGGCCGTGTATTTGATGTGTCCGACTGAACCGGGCTTATGATTATGGAGGTTGTTCCTCCATTCGCAGGATCCCAGGGCCTGACGCCCATGGAACCGCCGGCGGTGCCGCCCACAGGCGGACTGGGGTGGATGGTACAACAGCCACCCGCTTCTTCCTCTCCTCTATATTCATCCCGGGGGGACCGCGCTCATTGGTCCAGCTGCGAGTCACCCCCAGCATCCCTGGGGTATCCGTGCCGGGCCCATACGAGGGACTGGTAACAAGGACCCATTCCCAGACGTTTCGGTTCAGATGACCGCCCCTACTCATCATCGGTTGCTGTTATTTGGGGGCTGGATTGTTGCCATGCATTGCGAATGTTGCGTGGATATTGCTGTGTTCGTCGTCCCACTACGCGACGTATGAAGGTCAGCCGGGACAGCTGTTTTTTTTCACGGGGGGGGGGGGGGGGGGTAATATATTGACATTGAATGAGTCACTGTAGCATGTGGCGCTGGGAGATTGGTAGACAATGGGATTGGGGGTAGCAGCCCGTTCTACCGGTTGGACCTGTGGGAGAGGCACAGAGCCTTCTGGGAGATCCAGAGGGGTGCGGGGCCAAGGGCAGAGCCTGGCCACGCTGGGGAGGATAAAAGGTGAGCTCCGACTCACAGTCGGGGCTGCTACCATCTGGAGTGGAACTCGTCGTGTTGCCGTTGTTGTGGTCTTCGCCTCTTCAAGCTGTGGGTTTGGAAGCATGTTGGCTGTCCTGACCTGGTATGTAGTTATCCCCTATGGCTGTGAAGGCTGGAATAAACAAGAGAGAGTGCCTCCTACTAGTGTCTCTAAATTAGTACACTACACTTTGGCCAAAACATACACATGTACACATTCAATGACAATGCATACTATTGGAACAAACCAATTCTGTTTTGCAAGTACAGTAGCGATTATATATGCTTGTACTTTAAAAAAATAATCGTGGTAATTTTCCCAATTTTTAAACGAAGAAATCGTTTCAGAAATCTCGCTGAGCAGTGATACCGTGTCAAGAGAATGGGTTGAAGAAGAGTGTTCACGGTACTTGTGACAATTTCAATTCATACTTTACACAGATGGGTGGTCACAGTTGCATACACGCACACTCTGCTAGGAGATTGTCACGCATCAAGCGGATATTTTTCATTCTCTGAGCCGGAAGTTAGCCGAATCGAGTGCATCAAATTTGACAAAACAACACGCAATGGTGATGTTTAGTTTTTGCGCAGTAATTGGTGAGCACACTGATATCCTCAACTCCACTACACGAGAGAATCTGTTTTAACCCTGGGCAGTCCCCTGAGGTCAGTGGTTACCGGCTTAGCGCTGTGACCCGTCTACCCGAGCCGGGTCACAGTTCGTTCGAACTTTCGAGACCACGCCCGACGCTCACACAATGACATTATTTTGTACGCACACATACGTGTACTATGTACTCATTCGTGACGTACGTACGCAATACACATCGATGACATTTACACGAGGATGCACTTTATGACATATAAAGACAAAGATTACCTTAACAGGCTTTTTTTGGACAAGTGCTGTTAGCGAGCACCTATGAAGGCCGGCACGGCACAATGAAGAGCGGGAGGTCAGGACCACACCCGGCGGCCTTTGTCTCCCTAGCGGCCAAGTTTACACACCGCACCAGGTACGCATTTGAGGCTGAGTCGACCTAGGGGAGGCCCAGAGCCGGTTCAGATATTCGACCGATATAACTGGGCTAAATTTCTCGACAGTGATGTTTGCCTCAGCGGGAATCAAACTCGAGTCGCGGGGTTCGTAGCGCAGCGCGCGAGCCACTGCGCGACCGCTCCCATAAAAATATATATGTATCCCACAACGACATACAGTCGATGTACACACGTACACCATATGAAACTCATTTATGGCATATACACAATGGCATAGACCATATTCATCACTCACACACATACTGTATGCATACATAATTAATACATACATGTCCATATACATACACACACTGACGTGCATAATGTATTGCATATGAAATATGCTTCGGGGTACATCATGGTATACTGCACATATATACACGTACCTGCATGTACGTATTGACAGACCTCACGCACTGTGTAACAATTGTACATACACTGTAACGTAATACATCTTTCGAAAAAACCAGCACCCTCCCGTTTCGCCTTTAACAGACTGTTGGGGCTGTTAGCGAGCAGCACCTTGGCCGCGGGGCGCACGAGGGGCTGGGTGGCCGGCACCACACCCAGTCGCCTTTGTCTCCCCAGTGCTGATATTGACACCCCGAACCAGCTGCTGAGTCGAGCTGGGGGAGGTCCAGGAACGGTTCATATGTTCGTTACTTGTCCTTCCCCCGCACCTTCAGTTACCACGGCTGAGCACGTACGGTGCGAAAGAAGTTCCACATACATTGGTCGTGAGCGGGAATCGAACGCGGGTCGCCGGGTTCGTGGCCCAGTGCGCCTAACCACTGCACTACCTCACCCCGTGTCATCCTTTAACAAACATACACACAAAAGGCATGCACACTGACGACACGCGAGCATATACAGCAACGCAGTGCGAGTTACACATGTACAAACACGCGCACGAATGCGCATTACTGAATTACGCATGCACAAACACATAAGACGCGCAACAAACACGACATGCATCAAGGGTAACGCGTTAATGACGGAACGACACTTACCGCCTCTTGTTCTTTTGCACAAGAGTGTGGTGGACGTCTCGTGTGTCGTGGGTTATATAGAGGCGCATTAGGGCCGGTGGGGCGGAGGGGTGTGGGAGGCGTGGCGAAAGCCTGAAATGCAGCCAGCTGACTGCCATCATCAACCACGATCAATCTGCTGCTGGATGAAGACCTCTCCAAGGGGCTGCCACCTGACACGACCATTCGATGTCATCACCCACCTAGCATGTGCACACGAACTAATTGCACCGTTCCATCTCCTCGGTCGTCAGCCCTCTCGAACGCGTTCCATTCCTTGGCTGCCACTCCGTTATTATTCTTGACCATCGGGACATCCGTCCATTTTAGTTGTGATGTGTCCTGCCCAAGCTCGCTTCCCTTTCTAAATAATTTGGGTGACGTAATTAACATGCATTTGTTCTCTGATGCACGTGCTCCTCTTCCTGTCTCTCTAAATGTAATTCCCAGCAATGCGTCTTTCCTCACGCTGCTTTGCATGGAGCTGCTGAGTAACCGCGACCCACCAAAGATTTGAGCCATCGGCCACCCTTGCTTGGTTTGTTTCCAACCACACGGCCCCCTTTTGTGTGCCCGCCCGCCCCACACTTGCTATGGCAAACAATGTTTAGTTTGCTGCCCAGCTAGGCATTGGTCAGCCTAGATGCTGGTTGGCAGGATAATAGGGCCCTTTGTGTCTTTCTCTGTCTCTCTTGTAATGTTCTCTCTTTTGTCTCTTTGTTACTCTGTTTATCTCTCTCTACCAAGGCTGAGGTTTGGGAAGCCATCCAGATGGAATGAAGCGTGGCTACGGTCCAGTACATTTGTTCTCACTCGCTGACTCACCCCTACTGGACATCTGTGAAAAAATAGCTTCATAGCTCATCGGTTTCTTCCAGGATGAATACAGATTCCGATTCCGATTTAGAGGCAAGAGAAGTTTGGATCACATCGAATTGTAAAACTAAAACATGAACATGCTGGGTTGCAAGGTGGCGACGAGAATATGGCTTGTGGATCTTTGTGTGCTATCCTCTCATGCGTGGGGTTTCTCCAGGAGGGCCTGTTTCCTCCAACACCCAAAGCACTCCTTTAAGTTCCCAGTTAAGGATTTTATTGGGAAAAAAGGTCTTGAAATTTAACGAAACTTTCATGGATATATAAATTACACCATTTCTGTTGGTATATTCTATATAAACAGTATTGGAAATAATATCCTGATTAAATAAGGAATACTACGACTATAAGGGGCCATTTGAAATATTGATGTAGTCATATTTGTATTGTTATATCAACTGCACCCCAGGATGACTGGGGTGCAGTTGATGGGTTTGATAAGTGAGTCAGGGTGGCAGTTAGCAAGACATTTCAAGGCTGCACCTTTACCTTTTTCAGAACAGACAATAATTACACTGGTCTTCAATTTTTTAGACGTCATCTGCTTTAGAGATTAAATGTGCTGTTTATTATGGATTTTGATGTGCTGAATTCAAATATGACAATTAAAACAACTGATTGGCTACTGTTCCCAAGATATTTAAGTTGTTAAGTCTATGTATATTGTGTAGATAGTAGAGTTTTACTCATAAATTGTAAACCTAGGTCCTTTCATATGTTTATGGTTGCTTTACATGATAACATGTCACCTGTTCATGTAACACTTGAAAAAGGGTTATATGAATAAAAAATATGAAACGAAAGGCAAAAAATTATTATTAACGACTATAATGAGCCAAGAATGTCTGTGTATCCCGAGTGTGACGTCACTCCACGTCGACCAACACCCCTAATTAATAATCATGAACAGGTTACGACCTCCACATGGACCCCCCTCATTAATAATCATGAGCAGGTGATGTTACTCCGCATGGAGAACCCCTCCCCACCCGCATTAATAATCATGAGCAGGTGACGTCACTCCACATCGAACAATCCCTTTCATTAATAATCAAGAACAGGTGGCGTCCTCCAAATGGACACCCCCCTGCCATTAATATTAATTAGCGGGTCACGTCACTTCACATGGGGGGGCGAGGCGCCTCCTCCCCCCTCCTCAGCGTCAACTTACAACCCTCACTACAAAGGCAGAATCCTCACGTTACGCGATCTCCGTAACGTTATTGAGATGTATAAGTAAACAGGACGTCATGGTGGACAAGGGATTATAACCTTTAAATTAAATAAGTCTGTGTCACCGCGGCCTTACAAATTGCACACGAATTGATGCAATGAATATCACGTCGTGGTCTGCTTTTCGCATACAAGTTTCAGATTTACTGCAATACACCCGTCCTTGGACAGGCAAAAGGCTATTGTATATATAAGTACATAGTTTAGTCCTTATTCATTGTCTACTTGGCATGTCTTGGCTTGTCTCTTGTATTCATTAAATGAAGCATCTCTTGTCACTGTCGAGCAATAGTCTGCAAGCATTGGTAGGCTCCATTTGCCCTGATAGTGTTTCTCCATTGTTGCAATGTCCCGGTGAAATCGCTCGCCATGCTCGCCGCTCACTGCTCTGCAGTTTGGTGGGAACATTTTTTTTTAGATAAGAGTGCAAAAAATGTATCTTAAGTGACATGTTGCATCCAAGGCCTTTGTATGCCTTGAGGTTTTCCACCAACTCCCTGTAGTTGTCTTTCAGTTTCAGTTTTTTTTTGTATAGCCCTGTGAGACCCTTTGTTGGTCCTCAGATACCAAACCCAGCTTGATGTGTAAGGATGGTAACAAAATCTTCCTTGATTCAACAAGTGGTGGATGCTGAACACTTTTCCTCCCAGGCTCCAATGACTGGGAGTGGCCAATCTATCTTGATGTAGTGGGAATCTCTCGCACGACTATCCCATTCGCAGAGAAAACAGCAGTACTTTGTGTATCCAGTCTGCAGACCAAGCACGAGAGCAACAATCTTCAAATCGCCACAAAGCTGCCACTAATGTTGGTGATAGTTTATGCACCTCAAAAGTTGTTTCATGTTGTCATAGGTTTCCTTCATATGGACTGCATGACCAACTGGAATTGCTGGCAAAAACATTGCCATTATGCAGCAAAACAGCTTTAAGACTAATCTTCGATGAATTAATGGACAGTCTCCACTCATCTGGAGCATGAACGATGCTGAGGGCTGCCAACACACCATCGATGTTGTTGCAGGCTACAAGATCACCTTCCACGAAGAAGAATGGGACAAGATCCTTTTGACGGTGATGGAACATGGAAACCCTAACATCGCCTGCCAGGAGATTCCACTGCTGCAGTCTGGAGCCCAACAGCTCTGCCTTATTTTTGGGTAGTTCCAAATCCCTGACAAGGTCTTTCAGTTCACCTTGTGTAATGAAGTGTGGTTCAGAGGAAGAGGATGGCAGAAAATATTGGCCATGTGACCTTGATGGTTCAGGACCAGAAGTTTCATCCTCTTCCTCATCTGACTCAAGTGAGAATGATTCTGGTGCATCAGGAACCGGCAGTCTTTCTCCATGGGGTTCTGGGCATATAGCTGATGGAATGTTTGGATAATGCACAGTCCACTTTTTCTTCCTTGACACACCTTTCCCAACTGGAGGCGCCATGCAGAAGTAACAATTGCCGATATGATCTGTTGGCTCTCTCCAAATCATTGGCACTGAAAAAGGCATAGATTTCCTTTCCTGTTCAACCACTGACGAATATTTGTTGCGCAAGTGTTGCAGCAGAAGTTATCTGCTTTGTTCACACAAGTACGAGGCATCTCTGCTCACTTTGGCTAAACAGAAATGTGTCCCTTTGCAAAATCAATCACTGACAAATAAGGAGAGCACGACACTGTATGATGTCTAGAGCTGATATAGGGCAATTTATTCAGCAGAGGGATGTAAGCCTAGTTATGATTGCATCATCCATGACTTCTAGGAAAAACATGATGCAATTAGTATCATGTATGATGCAATACCAAGTTCAGTTTTAATCATTCATTATTCTGCTCAAAAAGCAAGTACTGTCCAAACCCAGTCATAGATGTATTCATAGATCCAATCAAACATGTATTTTAGTCATTTCTGGTTTAAATTGAGATCCCTTCCCTTTATAACTCACTTATCCTCCGCCATTCCCAAGTCAAGGGTCGTATTTACTGACCCAGTAGCATATCTTGAAAACTAGAGCTAATACAAATTTTAAGCATCATTTTCATTCTCAGTGACCCACTTATCCTCCGCCATTCCCAAGTGAAGGGTCGTATTTACTGACTCAGTAGCATATCTTGAAAACTAGAGCTAATACAAATTTTAAGCATCATTTTCATTCTCAGTGACCCAGAATTAGTAACGTTGGACTACGATTATTTCGGAAGCATTTTGGCTGTAGACCAGTGTTATTGGCAGACAGTATGTGCAACAATATACTTTAATATTTTAACATTGCCCAGTTACGTCCCATCCTCTCAGCTACTGATGCGGAGAAATTGGTTCATGCTTTTATTTTTCTCACTCATCGACCACTGCAACGGTATCTGGAACATCCAGCAAGGTGCTCTGTGGACTCCAGTTTGTTCAGAACGCAGCTGCTATGCTCATGACCCGAACTCCTCGTTGAGAACAAATTACCCCTATGCTTGCATCACTTTACTGGTTGCCAGTTCAATTCTGTACTGAATTAAATGTCCTCCACCTCACATTCAAGGCCCTGAGTGATCTCCCGCACCTACGTGCATTGGGGAGTTGCTGTGTCCCTACGTTCCAGTAACGACTTTGAAGTCGGCGGACCTCAGATCTACTCTGCATCCCCAGAACGAAGCTCAAGTCCATGGGCGATATCTGGCCATTCGCTTCCGTGGCAACCCGGACTGTGGAACTCTCTGCAGAAGGGCTGTCAGGGAGTCCGGTTCGGTTGAGATGTTCAAGTTCCGCCTAAATATTTTTTTACCTTTCAGAAGGCTTTTCCTATTTTAATTCGGCTGTAAAGCGCGTTGAGGTGCGCTATATAAGCTATAATTATTATTGTTGTTGTCTGATTCTGTATTATTTCTTTTTTAAGTGTTCATTTTCTGGGGAGACTGTTACCTGCCATTGGAATGTGGAACTTCCACCAGCTCGGGATCGCCAATAGAGAGGAGCACCACAGTGCGTGTGAGCACAGAGATCCTGACTTAATTTGACGTGAATAGCTATTGTGACGTAACTGCAAACTGTGTTTCCACTCTTTGAGCATCATAGAATCTCCGCCAATGGTTTAGGATCGACAATCTTGATAGACATCACCCAGAACTCCAAAAAGCACAGGGACACTTTGACCCTGTACACAGCAGATGAGCAGAAGTTAAAAGGGTCACAGTGATCTATGATGCTTGTTTTTGGAATTAGTTTTCTCATTTATCCCTTAGAATCAGCTCACACAGCAAAGATGTGCATTCAATATTCTGCACCAGAAAGAAAGCATTTAAATATTTTCTGAGAAACATTCATGGGATTTA